GTGGAGAAGGAACGCGCTGAGCTGGGACTTACATCGTGGGCCGCAGCAGCAGCTGTGGCCAAGAATAGGGACAGATGGCGAGCATTGATTTCCGGCCCTCTCCCCCACTCGGGGGCAAGGAACTAAGCATAGTTAAGTGTTAACTTTATAGTTAGCGCCCTGACTCTGGATTGAGCGGTCCGGGTTCGAGCCCTGGCTAGGATCAGTGTGTTGTCTCCATGCACCTAACACTCATAGTGCTTCTCACATCCCAGGGGTTTGAAGTTAAGGCTAGGGCGAGGGGCGATGGGGACTCTGCGATGGCTGGACCAGCATCTCATCCAGGGGATGCATGTGACCACCAAGGTCACAGAATTCATGCAATAGGCAAGGCTTTATTCTGTTCCTTTACTGTTGCAGAGTCCCCGGCCATGAAAAGAGCAAAGAGCAATTGAAAGAAGAAAAAGAGAGAATGTGAACTGGGAACAAAATGACCATCGCACCGCAACGAGCAAAACAAGATAAAATAGTTCACTCTGGAACAGGACTTTGTTGTCCGCAGGGATTCCGGTATAAAAGAGGCGGTGGATGATTCTTGAAGATCTTTCAATGTTCCTCAGCAAGGTAGCATTTTTTTTAATTTGCGTGGTTCGAATTCCTCTGCACCCCTGATGGTGCTAATTCTAGAACGATAAGTAGTCTCTGTCATTATCTCGTCTTAAACCCTCAAAGATGCAAGAACAACTCTACGTGTTCTCATTTTAGGCGTGAATACCCTAAAAGGCGCCATAAAGTCTTACATGAGATTAGCCCCTTCCCCCTAAAAGGTAAGAGAATCACTCGCGCCACTGTTATAAGGGAGTCTACCAATCTGGCTAGCTCTGTCGAATAGAACACGTAGCAGTAATTAACTCACCAGGCTGATCCCGATAGTCCCGCAGTGTACATTGTACAATCCAACACATGCATGTCTTTGAGAGCACAGAACACACCACTGAGGGAAACCATAGCACGGAAACCCCCACCTGAACCAAGGACAGCTATGGAGGGCACCTGGAAATTTTGAAACACAGGTCATTTCAGAAGTTTGTTTGATAGCAGCCATAACTGGATTCGTTTTAAACAGATCATAGTGACGAGGAACAGAACTTTATTTCATGAGTACAATTCTTTTGTTTACCTCTTCAATAGTCCGTGGCCCTCTCGTTCCAAGAAGCTTCTTCATGGCTTCAAACACTTTTTTTTTCCTTTCCTGCCGAAAGTCATTTTCTTCCTCACACAGATTTATGCTGTACCTCATGTCCGTGGGTACAGAGCTGTGAAGGAAATACGCTTAGAGACTTTAAACTTATGTTATATTGGGACGAAATTTTGTCCAATCGTTTCAGAAAGGAAACAAAAAGATCATGTTCGTGCAAGTCTTAACTTGTAGAAACGGCTTTTGTTCTCATAAATTCAACTTGGCTAAAACGTAAGATTTGGGGAGCAGGGATGGCGCACTGGTGAGAGCGCTCGCCTTCCACCAATGTGGCCCGGGTTCGATTCCGGCCCGGTGCCATAAGTGGGTCGAGTTTGTTGTTGGTTCTCGCCTTGTTCCGAAGGTTTTTCGCGAGGCTCTCGGGTTTTCCTCCCTCCGCAATAACCAACATCTCCAAATTCCAATTCGATAAGGATAGAGGACCTGAATGAAAACCAGCTACGACTGATGTGACTCCCTCTCTAAATATCGAAATTTAAGATGAATGTGCATCAAGTATTCTTATACTAACAGTCCTTCATGTTTCGATGACCTGAGTTCTCAAAACATTTTTTAGAAAATAGCTCTTAGTAATCACAAGACATCCTGAAATCGAAAAATGGAACTGAGCAACCTTACCATTTTTCAACTTTTATCTCCACATCAACCTCCGCGGACTGAAAAATTAAAACAAGTGTTTAATAAGTTTAATTTTAATGGGTGGACAAGATATTAAGGGCTGTTCACTCTAGGATTGCAGGGTGAAACGGACATTTCTAACCCGTACCTGGCGAAAAACTAAAGTTTTCTGATACACTTTTCCAAGCTCCAAACCATTGAGGTTCAGTGTCTGGCGATGTCCCACGATATCATCACTTAGTGTATCATCATCCATCAGAATGATTTCTGGGGACAAGAAAAGTATCTCAACAAGAGAAGTAATAACAGCAACAGCAACAGCAACGACAACAACAACAGCAATTATCAATCTTGCATTGAGTGTTAGGCTTCCAGTGGGAGTTTATTTCGCAGAAGAAAGTTGTGACTTTGGAAAAAACGGGTTCCTTAGTGACAGAATGTAACATTTCATCTTCTGAATAATTTCCCTGACAAAAATAAAATTTCCAGTGCTTTTCCATCGACAGCTACTCAAAAATAAAGAACTTCTTATTCATTAAAAAGTTTATTTCATTTATGTAAGTATGCTCACCTAAATCGTTTTCCACATCCGGGTTAAGAAGGAATTGGAACTCTTCCTCCCAGACTGGGTTAGCAGTGTTTTTCTTCGCTTTGGTTTTTTTCTTGCCATTTGGTGCTGTTCTAATGAACAACTTTACATATGGATCAGGAGTGTCCACTGAGAGAGAGAAAAAAGAGTCAGTTAGTCAGACAGTAGGTCGGCCAGTCAGTCAGTCAGTCAGTCAGCCAGCCAGCCAGCCAGCCAGCCAGTCAGTCAGTCAGTCAGTCAGTCAGTCAGTCAGTCAGCTAGTCAGCCAGTCAGTCAGTCAGTCAGCTAGTCAGCCAGTCAGTCAGTCAGCTAGTCAGCCAGTCAGTCAGTCAGTCAGTCAATTGGTTGGTTGGACGGGGAGGCAGGCAGTTCGTTAGAAAAACAGACAGACAGACCGACCGATAAACAGACAGTCCAGGTGTGTCAGCCATTTACACGGTCGATGAGAGCCAGTTGTTTTTCAGATTTGCTCAGCCAGGGGTATACTAGTGGATGCTTTTAAAATCTATGGACTCAAAAAACGGTAAAGAGCCGTATGTCTAGTGAGCCAATTTAAGGAGCAATACAAAATGACCACTTAACAAATACTTACAAAGATCATTAAAGGAACCAAGTGTGATGTTCCTCCCGCGGAGCACTTTTATGCTGAGATGCACACATGGACGATAGGAAGCCTGGCAGGAATAAACAAACAATTGATAATATGCTGAGATATAGGTAAAGTTGTTCAATTAATTTCAATAAGTTCTTTGAGTATGTTTACACTAAATTCTCTGCGTTGGAACTTTAATATGACATACAGTTTATACATACATACATACTTTATTGGCTCGTCCCCACGGGGCTTTTCAGAGTCAATTTTACATTACAAAATTAAAAAACTAAGTATATGACAGTGATAAAAGAAGATAAAGGTTAACAAAATTAAATAACGCAGTCATTAAGAAAAGAAGCTTTTGCCTGAGTAAGCGCTTGAAATCCGTCAAAGATGGGCTAAGTTTGAGCGCAGGCTGCAACTCATTGCACAGAGAGGTCGCTCTATATTGAAAGGTCTTTTGGCCGCTAGCAGTGCGGAAGACTGGTATGTTCAAAAGTTTATCAGGTGCTATGTACTGTTTCTTAAGGAGCGAAACCTCAGTTTTAATACCCGCTGGTGAACTCTTTCCTGACGAGAAGCGATGTTAATAACACACTTATTTTGATAAGAATATGTTTTATAAGAATATCAGGGCTAATCCTAACCCTAGGTTTTGCGAAATGTTAGGAATATTTTAAGAATAAACCCAAGGAGGGGATTTTGAAGGGAATATAATTTTGTGTGTTGAAAATTTGTAAATAAAATTTTTAACTAAACAGTATAAAATTCTGCCTTTCTCTAAACGGCAAAACTAGCCAAAAAACAACAAACTCAACACCAGCCGTATGTTCAATGCTAATAATATTTCCGAAAGAAGTTATGTGTATAATATAAGGCTTATTACCTGACGTCTGGTTCCAAATTCACTCCATCAGTATGATGGGACAGATAGTCTGACGTTTCATTGGCATAGCCATTCCTTTATCTAATCTAGGAATATTCACAAGATTTGCAACCTAAAACCAGCAGAAACTTGAATAAGAATATTCAGCCTGGGTCGGAAAAACAATATATTCTTATTGGAAAAAGAGTGTAACTTCGTAGCTGTAAGAAGCAAAGAAACTGTCGGAAAAAGCATTTTAAAAATGCCTCGAAGGTAATCGGTTCGTAATGAATAGCATGGATTCGCATGCCAGCGAGTGAGACTAGCAAACGTTCAGGGGCACTGAAACTGCTCATTACGGGCTGAAAATCATCTTTATAGGTAAAAGATACGAGCACATTTCTGCATACATCCTATAACACAAGAAATGACCTTGAACGCGAATTTGGCATGTGGGTTTTCATTGCTGAAAAATGATTCAGCTGATCACAAGTTATCACAGCCGTAGGGACGACTTTTTATTTTATTTTATTTTATTTTATTTGAATTTTGAATTTTGTTGGTCACTTTGAGAACATACCTGATATTTCGCTGCCACTCTCTAACTGACTTGGAAAGTTGACTTGTGATGTGTGGCGTGTCCAAATCAAGTGAACTGAACCTGATTACTGCGCGTGAGCTACTGTTATAGAAGATACCTACCACGCGATACGTCACTCGATACGTGATACAGACATTACAACAATGCACTGATAAAACACATTCACGCATAACCTACACGTCGATTAACCGAAGCTGACCCAACTGGATGGTCTAAAGGCTACAAACTAACTGTTGCCATTTTTAGTTTGCAGTCTGGCAATGTTCTCCGTGAACAGTTTTGTTGCTGATTAACATTCATGACGAACCCGCCATGACCGAAATGCTAATCAGTCACGTTTCGTCTCTCGCTTGTGTTAGTTTGCGGCTGCAAGCGAAGCGATGATACAAACACACAATACATGTTATCAGTGAAGAGCGAGTACGCAAACTGCCAAGTTACATGTTTTAAGAAACAAGTATTTGTGGGTTCACCCAGAATCGTTTTCGCATGATGTAGTGTATTCTTCAAAAACAGTGCAAGGACGGACGTATTGTTCACGGTTAATATGTTAGCGTCATTTCCACAAAACCACGTAGATCCCAGTTTAGCCGCAAGCGGGTAAAAATAACCTCTGCTGACTTCCGCTCACGTAAAACTTGTGATCCGTTCACGTATTAAGCCGAGCTACATCTTCCGAGCAATTAACAGCCTCGGCTTTGCGGACGTGTTAAAAACACGAAATGGCGAAATGACGAAATGGCACCACGGGTAAGAGGTAATGTGGGACTCGGGTGCCTGTAAAGCCTAGTTCACACTTGTGAGATAAGTTCCCACTTGTGAGATAAGCGTAACACTAGTGAAATAAGCAGAAGCATAAGCACAAGAAAAACAAACATGTTCCTTTTTTCATGTGCTTGGGCTTATGCTTCAGTTATTTCAATTGTGTTATGCTTAGCTCACAAGCGTGAACCATAGATTAAAGTGGTATTGTCGTGGATTTTCGATGGAGTCCACAAAAAAGGAAAGTGATTCCTATTGGTTTATAATTGTCGTATTATTCTATTTTCCCTGAAAGTAATTTTACACCTTTTTTCTATAAGAATATTGTTTTCTCATCTTAGGCTGATTATTCTTATTTTTCTGACGATTTTGGGCTGAAAGTATTCTTGTGAATATTCTTAGCGTGTGATATATCAGCTCGACTTCGGTGCTGTTGAAGTAATTTTGGAGCCAGACTGATATGACACACATGACTTTAATTCATTACAATTTATATTTAATGACTACTACAAAAATGTTAACAGCATCAAACAAAGTGCTAAAGCTGTTTTTGTTTTTGTTATGGCTTCGTCATAGAGAAAAACAAAATTTTATCAGCCTCGGGTTTATTCTTAAAATACTCTTGAATTTCGCAAATTTCAGCTTCGATATTCTTGTAAAATGTATTCTCATATATAAAAAACAATAATTAAGTTCCACCCAAAAACATTTTTTCCTTAAAGGGTAAGAAAGTTTAATTTTCTTATTTTCTTTTATTACACGGAAAATCATGGTAAACTCTTAATTCAAAATATTTGACACCGGAAGTGTTCGTTTTCCGACGTAAATTACCTTTTAGACGATCCAGTTAACAAATTGAAGTCAGTGTTTCATGCGTCTGTCTTGTTATTGACAATGAATTTCGTTATAACATTGTCAAAGCCGATAGCCGAGTAGATCATTGTCAATAACAGGACAGATGCATGAAAAGCTGACTTCAATTTGTTAACTGGATCGTACACA